AAAAAAAAAAAAAAAATGGGGAAGGCAAAATTCTGAAGTGGAATTCAGCACTCTAACACAATGTGCATCGGGCAGTTTTAAAAAGTCCTAAGTTTTTTCTTGCTGTTTTTCTTTATGAAAAGAGAAAAAAAATTTTTTTTTTTTTTTTTTTGAAACGATAACTAAGCCAATAAGAAACTAAGCTGTAAAGAAGAGCGCAAAAGAATGCTTTGCTTTGCTTTTTTGTTGAAATTTCTTTACCAACACCATCGCCAAATAGCAAAAACAGCAGCAAAAACAGCAGCAGCAGCAGCAACAACAACAACAACAGATATAGCAACAGCTTAAAAATCACCACCACTAACAACAACGGTAGTATCAAAAACAATCCGATATGATATGTGTGTTTAGCGTAGTTGTGGTTGTTGGCTGTGATGATGATGGTGGTGCTCGGGTCAGTTGCAAGAAAATGGCATCAAATCAAAAAACATATGTAGCCCGATGAATATACATATGCTATATTGTAAAAAATGATTTACTCTTTCTTTTTTTTTTCTTTTCAGACCATTTCTTAACTTAGTTATCGGCATTATTGGTAACAACAACTTCCCTGTCAGATCACCACCGAACAGTGGTAACAATTGCAGGTCATAACTTGTTCCCTATACAAAGTTCAGCTACTGTTTACCTTTAGTTGTCGCTTAACTTATTATAGCAAAAGATTCAAGCACTTTCTTTTTAACAAATAATTTTTTCCCGTTTTTAAACATTATAAAGACAGCGAAAAAAAAAATAGAAAAAAAGAGGAAAATTTTACCAATGCTAGTTATTAGACCAAAGAAAATTTGTAAAATACAAAATAAACACTAGAGATTTTTCATTTAGACCTGTCTAATTTATGGTGAAAGGGGTTGTGCAGGGGAAAAAAGAAACAACAATAACTCACCGAGACAATATGAGCAAAACAGTGGAAGAATAAGAAAAACACTCATATGTTATCCTAATTACAGAAAAATCTTTTTGTTAAGGTTCCAAAAAAATAGGCTTTCTAAGAAATGCTCAGTTTATCACTTTTTCACTCTGTTTCTTCATGATACCAGCCAAAAAAAAGACAAATTGAATTCAAAATCTGAGTGATAATAAGAGACAAAAAAAAAGAAGCAGAACCGGTGTCTGAAAGCACATGAGCAGCAACAGAAAAAATTGATTTGATGAAGTAATGGAGCTGTTGCGAAAAAGTGTACCGAAAAAATGAATAAAAAACTATTATGCAAGCATGCCAAAAAAGAAATCTAAATAAGTGTCACTAGGTGATCTTTGACTGCCTTCAGTGTTTATGCACTGACGTTCAGAACAAACTGCATTGACTAATAAAAAAAAGATGAAGGCGACAAAGACGAAAAAAAAAACTTAAGACCATATAGTTTAGGTATCTGTTAAACATCTGCACCTCTGCTAGCGTAAGGTAATGCAACACCGGCTTGAACATCGTATCGTCCACTACATTCAGTTGGCCTTCGCTGATATGGTTGCCTAGTGTAGTCATCATCAACCACTGATGACTTTTCCGAAGCGGCTAAAAAAAAACACTACCTCTATTAATAGCACTCATGGATAATATGTGAACAAACTTTAGTTGGTCAGCTGATATAAATGTGTAGTCAACAGATTTCAGATGTTAAAGTACATTTTGTGATCATAAAGGCAAAAAACCCTACTGCGACGACTCCGTGTTAGATAAGATAACAGTTGTTCAAAAAGTGAAAATAAAGAAACAAACCTGTCCTATCTTTAGCATAATCGTATTTTCAGTGTTCTAAGCTTATACAAATAAGAAGTACAAAAATAAGAAAAGAGAAAGACAAGCAGAAAAAATGTAAATATTCGTTTCAGGTATTGCCTACCTCGAGCCCTCAGATCACCATTGACAGGGAAACCGACTCGTCTTGGCTCGTGCTCCATTGGGATTGCAATATGACTCAATCGTTTAGCAGATTGAGGAGGTCGCGGTGACGGTGAACAAACGATTGGTTTTGATTCGTCATACAACGGTAACGTTGAGGTACGCAAATTTTCTGTCAAAAAAAAAAGCAACAAGTACAGTATTGCTATTATTCAATTAAGTTTTTTTCATGCTAACTCAATTTCAGTGCGTATCAGGTGAAAATTTTGATAAAATTTTATGTAGCCAGTTTTCTATAACTGCAGATACCATTATAATTGCTGTTCGTAGTAAACGAAGTATTTGGAGATTGCTTAAATTATCTCCAATTAACTGAACACTTCTACATTTTAGCACTGTTTCGCTTTAGTTCTTCGCAGTCAAACTATTTCTTTGATTTTACTGTTTAATTATTTTCTTTCAAAAATTATCAAAAAGAAATTTATTTTTCCTCTTCAAAATCGTTGTCATATTAATGTAATGGAATAGATTTTGAAGTAATGTACATAAAGCAGCTCTTTCTTAGATGGTCCCTCCGTAACAGCTAACAATCATCAATTATTGCCATTATTTATATAAATAGCACAAAAAGTTGATAACTTTAAAACCTTTTTATTCTTCCCTTCACAAATATTTTTCACAAACACACAAAAAAGTGAGCTCTATGCTATTCAAATAAACCTAACAGTTGAAAAAAAAAAAAGACAAATTTTTCTTTAAACAAATTTTTAATATCTTATTTTTTTTTTCTGCTACCATCTTAGCACCACCACCACCACCACCATCAATACCAACATCAACATCACCACCGTTGGCACCAGAACAAAAAAAAAACTGTTTTTTACGGTCGAAAATGTGACAAACAAAAAGAAGAAAAGGTAGAAAGAAAAAAGTTTACAGTAGAACAGTGCCAAAAAAAAATTTTGAAATATGTAAATTGCCAAAACATTTCTTCACAAAACTTTAAAATACATTCTGTAGTTTAACTGTCAGTACTATCCAATGATTCAAAACAGTTTTTAGTTTTTTTATTTTCTTAAACTGATATCAGCAACAAATCAAGATTCCTATCCTCTCGGGTAAATTAAAAAAAGCAAGAAAAAAAAAGCAAAAAAAATTTGTCTGCTTACCAGATGCAGTATCGTCTTGACTTTTTAATATTTTGTAAATGGCGTAACATTTTGTGACCAAATTAATTGTCAAAATTATAGACAGCAATAAAAATACAATAATTAACGTTATGAATAACAAGTAAAATATCCAAGCATTTGGAACCTAAAAAACGTCTATTGCAGTACTGAAATTACAAAAAGATTAAATGTATTTTAATTCTCTGAACACGTTGAAGTTTAGTTGATTCACTGCTTTGCTGTATTCAAAATTTTAACCTGTGAAACTGTGGCAGCAACCTGATTTGTTACCGCTCGAGCATCTAAGGCTATATTTGAGACCGAAGAATCAAAAGTATCCAATGTTACATTAATTCTGAAAAAGTACCAAATAGCTGCTCGTATTTGTCGAGTATCATTACACCGACAGTTCTTCTTTGTGCCGATATAGCCGTCAAACAAAGCAGCTTCAAGAGTTTACAAACGAAGCTCCGAAGCAGCCTTGACGACAAGAATGAAGTAAAACAAATAAGCAAACAAAACAAACCTAGAAGTAATCCCGGCAACTTGTGTGTTGATATGTCCAACAAGCGTCCCCAACTGCGATAACGTACTACTGAGCTCTTCAATAGTCTTATCGACAGACATGGTTGGCCGATATTTTTAGTCACAAGTTTCAGTCTGCCTCTTTGAGGCAAAAAACGGACGTGAACTGCAGCTCTGCTTATGATTACCAGGATTCTGAAAAAATCAATCCGCTAAGCCATAGCAAACACAGTATACTGAATTGTCTGTCAAATACGCTGACGTCAAATTTATCAATAGAAGGCAGAAGAAATTTTGTAAAAAAATTCCGTTCTTCTTCTGTTTTTTTTTTTTTTCTCTTTTCGTTATTGTCGAAAAGCTTCGCAGCGGAAAAATAACAAAATTTCGATAAAGTCAAACAACATTTAATGAATCATTTAGACAATGAATAAATTAAGAGAAAAAAAAACAACTTATTATAGTACGATACATAAAACGTCTTTAACAACATTTAAAATTTTGGTTTCTCTCAATAGAAAAATCGTACTGTATCGGCGACACCCAAAAATTTATCACTGTCAACTAAATGCAACTGTCAAATGACTCATTACTATTGCTTTTTTTTTATAAAGTAAAAGAAGGGTGTTTGTCAATGTATAATCTTTGGTGGTAATTGAACTTCAACAGCAGCAAAGTAATTATGTGAAAACGATAGCTAAATTTACAGCTAAGCAGTAAAAAAAAAAAAAAAGGTTCTGCTGAATAGCTGAATGAAAAATTTACAGAATGGGAGGGGTAAAGTAAACGACAATTCAAACATTTTGGTCTAGCTTCAATCAGAAAAAAAAAAAAAGAAAAGCAGAGAAAAGACTAAACAATCAAATTGGTGACAACAACAAAAAAAAAAACCAAAATGTTTCATTAGACCTTTCAGAGAATCCTAAATTTTTTATAGATGCTTAGACGACGACTGTTGTCTGATCGTTTGGTTGTGTTCAATGAATATGTCAAATATGTCCTGTCAGCCATTTCACTGTTTCATCAGCT